GATAGAATTTGACGCAACGAAAGTGTTTCAGCACGGAAAAAATATTAAATTATAATGATAAATGAAAGCTCAAGATCATGATTAGAGAAAGACACGTACACGAAAGAAAAGGGAACAAACATTTTTGTATCGGACCTGTTTTTTTGCTCGATTACCTTCAGCCTGTAGATTATGTTTCTTGCGCATGCTCCAAATGATAGGCTTTGTGCTACTTCCTCAAGTCCAACAAGTTCACCTTGTTTAAGTTTCGAAAATTGAACTATGTTGTCATCAAAAACAAGTTGACTAAGCTAGGATACGTAATCAAGTAAAACCTACATTTGTACAATAACATTATTTTATACATTGTGACTAAGAAATAATCAGCGTAATTGCATAATTAAGAACATTACGCATACAAACCTAAACAGTTTATTACACAGTCATAAGAATCAGTAAGTTTACTACGTGGTCATAACAGGAGAAGAGAGTTTTTGTTTGTTTGAAGTTAACCACAAAGCTACACAAAGGTCTATCTGTACTCTGCCCACCACGGGTATCGAAACCCGGCTTTCAGCGTTGTAAGTTCGCAGATATATCGCTGTGCCACTGGGGGGCGCAGAAGAGAGTAACAACATATTGGGGACTACTGAGAAATTTCGCAAGAGTGGTCAATATTTCGCTTGTTTTATTACAAATGTGTGACCACTTGACATTGAAGTAATTGCTACAGTTGCGCTTGGAAACTGGTGCAGAAAATAATTTATTATTTTTGAAGACCCGCCTGTACTTTATTTATCTTTGGTATGCATAATGCATCGGATATGAGGAGTACCTGATAATATCTCCGATACATACACTTATTCGTATACATCTGTGTAATCATAATTATTGTAAAGGCATAGTCTACCGATGCACATATCCCTATTCAGTCATGGAACTCCTCCGGGACAGCATATCTCCCGCTGAACAACAGCTTTCACGGTTGAACGGATATATTCTGTATGTTTGGGACCATTTACAAATTGTAGAGAACGATATTGAAAATCCTTTCGGGACCATTTATGAACTGCAGTGAAAGATACTGGAAATCGCGCACGTTATACTACGGTTCTGCATTAATTTTAATCACACTAAAGTAAAGCAGTATTGTTGAAGGTAATTATTGATTCGCTAAGTAAAATCATACACGTGTGAGAAATAAATAAATAAAGTATAAATAATTGGGACATCAAATAAAACTGCTTGTAGATTATGACTTACATTTCTGTTTGTGTGTACAAGTTAAGCTTTTGAAGGAGCTTTTATATCAATTCACAGTAAAACCATAGCACGGTTCCATCTAGTGTTCTACCTATTACACTATTGTTGATCCAGTAGCTTTGTCACTCTGTGGTAAGTCTACATGGTTATGACTCTAAAAATCGAGTTTCAATACCCGTGGTGGACAGAGCACAAATACTCCATCTTGTAACTTTATGCTTAACAACAACCCAACCAAACTTTGTTGTTCTAAACATGAAAGGCAATTATTTTACCATTGGAGTGAAAATAACGCACTCTACCGACGCCTTTAATTGTGATTTTACGGTCATAAAATCTAAAACGCAATTAGATTCGTTTCTGTATCTGTTATAACGCCATCTGTTGAAGAGAAATTAATCTACAAAAATCTAAGAGTAACTAAACTTTATTAGAAGTAATTGAGTGAAGTTTTATTAATTTGAGATAATGGAAAATGTACTGAGACCAGTGAAAAGCTAATGAGTTTGAACTTCATGATTTAAAGGAATATTCAGACAATATATGAACATTAACATTCTTACTGAAATTGTTCAGAGTGAATTCATGATATCATTAGACACTTACGTAGGAATACTATATAAGATACTGTATGTTCCAAGGGATATCGCTACTGACGTCATGTTTAACTTCTTTTCTTCTTCTTTTTTTTTTAACACACGTTGATCGAAATTTCAACTCCATATAAGTATTTGAGTTGACAACTTTGAGATCTGACAACATTTCACACTATTGAAATATTTAGACTGAAGTACGTTGTCGTAGTTTGAAAAATTCAAACATCCACTCACAACTTGTATATGTATTAACGAAAACTATATGAAGCACTATAAATACAGAACCAGTAGCGGATCTAAGATTTTGAAGAAGGGGGGGGGGGGTGCGGTCGCCTGGATGGGCGCCATATAATTTCAGCATGCATCATTTATATGATGTAGCCAGATGATACATCAAACTTAAATATAATATTATAAATTATTGGCCTGTAGCTAGGAGAGGTGGGAAATAAAATATTTTATTGAAATTATTTATTTTTAAAAGGGGCGCAAAAGTATGAAAAAGGGGGCTGACCTCCCGAATCCACTAGTGTACAGAACTAAATGAAATTCTTCCACTGTTCTAAGAAAATCGAAGGATCGATGAGAAACACAAAATATACTTTGTAATCAACGGCTATGCCGTTATTTGATGTTAATAATATATTTGGTTGATAATACTCTTAATTGAATGCCCCACCCCCAATGGCACAGCGGCATGTCTGCAGACTTACAAGGCTACAAACCGAGTTTCGATACCCGTGATGGCCAGAGCACAGTTAGCCCTTTGTGTAGCTTTGTGCTTAACTACAACCAACCAACAACAACTTAATTACATTTATATATTTACGGCTTCCTCGGGAATTTTATCCTACAAATAGTATAATAAGTGTTCATTTGAATTACAGAGTTATAATCAAAAATTTTCAAAGATAGAAATCGTGTTATATCTATGTCAGGACAAAGAATGCCTAATAATAAATTATAGTTTGTGTTAAAATATTGTGAATTTTATCCAGTTTAAAAATGTTGTTTGTCTTAACAATCCAAGCCTAATGAAAAATACATTCAATGATCAACAGATACGCAATTTTCTTATGCTATTGACACAAGAAAAGGCCCGGCATGGCCAGGTGGTTAGGGAGCTCGACTTGCAATCTGCGGGTCGCGGGTTCGAATCCCCGTCACACCAAGCGTGCTCGCCCTTTCAGCCGTGAGGGTGTTATAATGTGATGGTCAATCCCATTATTCGTTGGTAAAAGAGTAGCCCAAGAATTGGCGGTTGGTGGTGATGACTAGCTGCCTTCCCTCTAGTCTTACACTGCTAAATTAGGGACGGCTAGCGTAGCTTTGCGCAAAATTTAAAACAAACAAATAGACACAAGAAAAACAAATTGGTTAAGTTTTACTGGCAAAATATATATTTATTATTAGAGTTTATCGCTATTCCTCAGGGTCGTTAACTACACTAACAAGTACATATTTTGTTTGTAATGCTAGATCAGTTTGTTTTTCGTACTGATTTTCATTGTTGCAGCGGTTTCTATCAGCTGTTTAATTGTAAATGCTGTTGACGTAAACAACTATCATTATACTTCATTTTCAAATACGTTCGTATTATTGACCAATAAAGCAATTTTTGTTTTGGAAAATTTCGCAGACCAGCCGTAAATCCCAAACCTAATCAGTGTAATTTTTGGTAGATTTATGCTTTATTTTAGTGCATATTATAAATTTCATTACGTCCGTAAGCGGTAGGCTTCAGTGATAATTGATATTTTATGGCGGACATTTCAGTTTGATGAGCTCTTATGAATACATTGTTTGTAAGAGATTAGGTTATTAGCGATAAGTAAACGTATAAAGTAGTGTTTGAAATGAATAAGAAATAACTTTTCTGATATTTTGTATAAGAATGAATATATAATTTCTCTTTCAGTTTTCATTTTTTCTTTTGCATTTAACTTTTGCTACAGTAGAATGTGACTTGAATTTAATTAGTAAAGTCATTAGAATTTGTTGTGTTGGGAAGAATTGCTACCATTAACAATATATTTTGTTGTAACGCTAAATTAAAGCTAAAATATTCAATATTTTAGATTTAAAAGTATTCAGTTGGTTTTCTTAGAATTACGTATAAAAGGCTAGAGAGAAACGATTTTATGAACAAATATAACTCAAATAAATAGTCTTCTCTAAAGTGTACGTTACTTGTAACAAAATGTTATTCGTTTGTAAAGCATGGAAGAAGTATTTTAAGTACAGTTCTTTGAATATTTTCAATTGTTTTAGTAAACTTGTGATTCATAAAGACTTACAAATTGAAATAATAGTAAAATGGGTCGTTAATTCGTTAAATTTCTTCTCTGTCTGTTTCATTTCACCAATATCTTATTTTAACAAGAAGAGGATAAAAGTTCTAAAATCAACTTTAAAAGTATTTTGATGGTTGGAAAGTTTTGGATGGAACTCATTTTGAAGAAAGTCAATGTTATAATTCATTTTCAGGCACATTGTGCTACTGTATATTAACAGTAAGAAAACAAAACGACATTTTTTTGACACAATGAAAGATAAATTATTTTCTTAGTTGTTTCAGCCGACTAGTAACGAGTCCTGATGATGGTGGATGACCGTGTTACTGAAACTAGTCTGCGTAAACAACTAATAAAGAAAATCATTCATTGTGCCAAAAAACGTCGTTTTTTCTTACTCTTAATATAAATTCAAGGTTATCTAAATAAAAGTGAAGAAAGAGATACATTTAATTAGTCGTGAAATGCTAAAAAAAATAGAGGTACTGAGCTGGGTGAAGTGTTCCGGTACTAGTACCGCCTTAAAATATATGTCCCGGTGAGTACCAGCATTCATTTAATTATTGTGTACGTTAATATGTTCCGGTACTAGTACCACCTTAAAATATATGTCCCGGTGAGTACCAGCATTCATTTAATTATTGTGTACGTTAATATGTTCCGGTACTAGTACCACCTTAAAATATATGTCCCGGTGAGTACCAACATTCATTTAATTATTGTGTACGTTAATATATTTCCACTTGATTTGGATAACCATTTTAAGACTGATATCACAAGCTCTAGATGTCATTTATTGTTACATATTAAGATTTTGAACGACAAAATGAGTGTTACTATACCTGCCTTCATTTTTTAACATTGACAGGTATTATTAACACGACCACCCGTCGCTTGGACCGGGAAAGCCAATCAGAGCATGTGCTTGAGGTAGGCATTGTTTTGCATAATCATGATAGCTTTGAACTTATATGGGCACGTGATTTATTCCATATTAGACGTACAGTTCAGTGTAGCGCTTAAGGTTGTAAGGATACGAATCTGAAATCGTTCAGCAACTATGGATAACTATGCATGAAACGTTGGAAATAGATATTGGAAAGTAATGAATCGCGAGTTTTAACATGTTAGAATATAAAATTAGAAAACACTTTGATTCGGTTAAAGATAAAATATTTGAAATGAAAACCAGCTCAGCATTGAACGAAATATATTTTTACCGAACGAAAGTGTTAAATTATTTTTGCTTTCAGAACATCATTTTATAAATAATTAAGATATTTCAGTAGTTCGAACAAGTGACTGATGTGGAAACTTGTGGAAAAAAATCCTATACTATATTTTTTGTTGAAACTAACCATGACTAAAATAAGCTAACCAGCAAACTGTGGTGAATATTATATGAATATAATGACACTGTAATTACATATTAAAATACAATTGTGCACCTAAGTAGAATACAATTACACACGTACTGAGAAAATGAAATGTCTTCTTTATGCATTTCAGGATATTGTAACTAATTTTGCTAATAATAAGAACTCATTCCCAATTATTCAGAAGCAAACTGTTTCCATGCTTAATTATGATAAAATGATAATATTCATTCGTAATAGTCTTGGATTAGGGGCATGGCTGATAGTAATTAGGGCGAGTAGGAGCTGAAGTTATCCCAAAATGTACCCTAGCCCTCCCCTACAGCATCCGCGCCCAACTATCAATGCTCAGTGTTAAAGCTTGTTCATTTCCTAAACAAGGCAGTATGTGCCCAGCAGATGTAGAGTGCAGGTTTCTCAATTTGTTCTCTAACCGATCTCTTTCCCCCCCCTTCCTCCAACTGGGAAGAGGCTAGCACCGCCTCTGGTTATTAGCATATGAAATATGTACCACAAAGTCAACGGGGAAAATAAAAATAAAGCTTCTTTTGTTTTTGAAATTGTTTTTTATGACCATGTCAGTATCCACCCTGTGAATTTTAGATTCCAACTCAAAAATAAGCTATATTAATGACTTTACTTACACTGTTAACGACTTAGTTTTCGAAGAAAGTACAAAAGAAATAAGCATTAATACAAACTCATGTTACAATTGTAGAGAAAGATGATAATTGGATATCAAGTCACTTTTTATGTCAATTACTTATACGATAACAAAGTATATTGTCTGTTTTGCTCAAAGCTGTTAAGTAAAATAATTTCTTGTGTTCTTTAGTGTAACTTTTAATGAGGCCTATCCCTTTAAACACTTCTTACTTTAACTTCATAACCTATTTGTTCGAGGCAACCACGTAAAACAAATAAAATCACGTTAGATGGTTGATCTTTGATATTGTTAAATTTACTTTTGTCAACATCCTTCAGGGCTATGTGTGTACTAAATTGATAGGCCGACCAAGGAACGTTCGTGAACCAACCTGATTACAAATACCGAACTTATATAACACGTGTACACGTTTCATTTACCAATTTTATTGAACTACAAAACAAACAAGAAGAACTAATTGCTGTTGCAATGTAAATAGAACTTATTTTTTGATATACATGTTTTGCAGCTGTTATGCATGGGTAAATACTTGATACTTATTCGACACCGGGCATTCGATCAACTTTCTCTAGTCCTGCTCTCGGCCTTTTGATTTGATTTTTTAGTGATGAGTTGAAATGTTAAAGACTTTTAACAGCTGTTTATTACCTTATATATATATATATATATATAATTTGGCAGGGGAAAAAAATCGCTTGTGTTTATAAAATCCTCCAATTTTGCCTTTCCCTGAAGACTGCACTTCATGTGTTGTGGCTAGTTAATAATAATTCTTCAGAAAATAATAATCTTTTCTATAGGCCTATTTAACTCTATTCGAAATTACTATTCTTTGCCTACTTTATGCGCATGTTTCTTCATTAAAGGCAGGTGTTTCAAACTAGTCGCACGCAACTTAATGAACTCGCTGAAAGTTACGCAAGTTTTACAGGAAAAGAAAATAATAATAATAATAAAGAAATCTGTAAAGTAATATTTGGCAATGATAAAAATAATAACTTAGTCGTGTTTTTAATCTCTTGGTTCTGTGTTTATTGAGCAAACTTTTAACTCGTCTTGGAGTCGTCTTCAGGTTAATTAATAAGTTATAAAACATTAAAAAATATAGAGGTGAATTCATGTAACTAATGTGTTTATAAGAAGATAATATATCACGTTATTACAAACATTAGCGAGTTACAACATGCTTTAGCTATGTTAGTCTTAGTGTATAGAACAACATAGTTGGCGATGCATGACATTTAGTTAATATATATGTGATATACCGTTAAGACTGTTGTGATTTAAATCACATTGTTCTTTACTGGTCCAGTGTGCATTTTCTACAATAGGAGTGCATAATAGCATTTCAACTATAACTTGTTTGTTGTATGCCCCTACCAGGGAAGAACCCCAAATATGAGCGTTGTAAGCCCGTAAACTTACTGTTGACCCACCAAGGGAGGGAGGGAATCGAAATTAATTAGAACTATGGGATTGTTAGTGAAGGATTAGTGTGTAGTGAGGAGATCCTTCCCACAGGAAAATACTGTCCCAAGGTCTAACAGGTTCTTGCTAACACCACTGGTTGGGATTAAAGCTATAATCTGTGAATGCCCTGATTGACAGTTAATGTAAATTTATACTGTCTACATTAAACAGGTATTAGTACGAGTTAATGTAGATATTCCTGTAGTTTAATGCATAGGTCTTCAATTTGTGATAAAAAATAGAGGGAACTCTCATATTGTTATTTTAAGAGAAGGTGCTGATTATTAAGTACACTCAGAACTGTCATTTCTCAATTTGTAAAAATATTTAGAGTAAAACTTGTATCTGTTAGAGTCTTTTATTAAATAATCTTGTTATTGTTATTATATTACCTACATATTCATAACATTAATGGTATTTATTCTACCAGGAACTTTTAACATAACATAATGTTTAGGGACAACAAGGGATATATTGGTCCATCTCGGCTGTTCCATCCACTAAACTAAACTAAAACTATTAAATAAGTAAATAAATTTTTTTTAAAGTCAGCCCTTATCATTCATATAGTTATCAAGCTTTCTCTTAAGCTCACTTAAATTTACTGCTTCCACAACATCTGAAGGCAATTCATTCCAGAGTCCAACCACCCTGTTAGAAAAATAAAACTATCTTAGCTGAAGATGTCCCCTACCTTGCCAAAATTTATAATTCTGTCTCCTAATTCTACTATTCTCGCCATTAAGTATGAAAAAATAGGATGCATGAACACTATCAATTCCGTTTAAAATCTGAAATATCTCAGTCAGGTCCCCTTTAGCTCTTCTTTTTTCAAGAGAAAACAATTTCAGAGATCTTAACATCTCCTCATATAACAACCCCCATCCCAAGCACCATTCTAGTAGCCCTTTTCTGAACCCTTTCCAACAATTCAGTGTCCTTCCTAAGATAAGGAGCCCAGGACTGAACATAGTACTCCAAATGTGGCCTAACCAGTGATCTATGCAATGAAATTATAACCTCTTTAGACTTGTATTCAATGTTTTTGTGGATACGACCTAAAATCCTATTTGCCCGACCAATAGCAACAGCACACTGCTTGGATGGCCTAAGAAATTGATCATGAAACCATTACACCAAGACCTCTTTCTTACATTACACTGTTAAGGTTATTCCTATCCAAATTATAATTATAATTCAAATTAAAATAATCAACATGCATTATCTTGCATTTCTTATAATTAAAATCCATTTGCCATTTATTTGCCCAACTCACTAAATGATTTAAATTCTTTTGTAAAGCAGCAGAATCCTCTTCACAGCTAGCAAAATCCAAGACTTTAATATCATTAGCAAATTTAAGTAATTTATCGACCATTCCTTCATCTATGTCGTTGATGTAAATCAAACAGAGAAAAGGTTCTAAGACTGAGCCTTGAAGTAAATCGCTTGTGAATTAATCCACTTTAACTGGACTCCATTTATAACAACCCTCTCCTTTATTCCATCCAACTACTCTTCTAACCAATTAGCTACCTTATCCCCCACACGTATAGAGAGTTTTTTTTTTTACAAGCCTTTTTTTTGTGCGGCACCTTTTCAGATGCTTTCTGGAAATCCAAACACACCAACTCTACACCCTTACTCTCATCTACATAAAAAGTATCCTTTTTCAAAGAATGTCAAAAGATTTGTAAAACAAAATTTCCCCTACTGAAACCATTTTGACTAATAGAATTCTAAATTTTGTTAAATGAATATAATGTAGTTACTTTAAAACGATCTTTGGAATAAAGTTTCTTACATGTTTGTTAACTTGTTAATAGGTTTTTGGTTTCATCTGTTTTAGTGTCATGGCAAACTACTAATTCCGACAAGGTATCTTACTTCCGCTCACATACATAACTATTCTCATTCAATGCTGCCCTCTATTTTCCAAAGCTTTTTCGCATGCCAAAAACCTTTCACTCCTTCATACCTCTGACTCCACATGATTTAACTAATTCACGCATGCAAATCATCATGCGACAAACCTTCATCAATATATGTGTCCCCCTCCCACACACACACACACGTGACTCATGTGACTCTATGTTATTCTATTTGGCAGTGCTGTGTTCTGAGATTTTATTTATTTTATTTCGAACTTTGAATTTTTGTAGCGTTTATTTTTTCAGTTTCCTTTTTTTTTTCAAATAAGCTCATTTACTGGTGGTATTATTTCATTTCAACACAGTTATGGAACTCATCATTTTTCCGTGCTTTTCATTCTTTACCAACACAGTTGTGTTTGTTTACATTTGCATTGTGAATTCTGAAGTGCATGTTTCCACGTTGGAGGTTGTACCTTCTACCAGCACATATACTCAGGCTTAAGGTGTGTATGTGGGGGGAACTCAACTTTGGAATTATCGGCA